CTTAGAAAACGAATAATTAAAACTAGATAACTAGATACAGACGTCATGCGGTGAGTACACGATGAAATGTTACAGGGATTATAGGAAAGTACAGTAACAGAGTTATTTAAATAGATAAGAAAGATACAATAGATTATTTACAAAAGCAAGGAACTTTTATAGACACTAATCGAAAATAGAAAAGAAATATTTTAGAAAGGTATTTACAATAAGTACCTACACAAAATGAAAACAATTTTAAAACATGTGGTGGATATCGCCACAATATAAAGGTAAATATACGAATAAGTACTCCAGTTTCCCGACTGGAAATTAGTTCAGAGAACCTGGATTATGATCAGATGCGGATCAGATTTTCCGTAATACGGGCATCTGATCAGTTTCTGATCAGAGTACAGTACTTTATCCGTTGATACACCCATCTGATCAGTTTCTAATCAGAGTACAGTACTCTATCCGTTGATCTATCGATCTGATCAGTTTCTGAATAGACTACAGTACTCCATTCCTTCATCTGATCATCAGATCAGAAATTGATCAGCGAACAGTACTCTNTCAAGTTAATCTAACGTTTGCAAAAAATCAACCTCGGTCAAAAACGAGCAAATGAGGAGAAAGGTACAACACCTGCGTGACGAAGTATATGATAAGCAGGAGGAGTGTCAAAAAGTGGCAAAATCATCTTGACATAATATATGGATGACCCTTCAACATCTTGGATCAAGTTTAGAAGATTTTATTTCTTTTCGTTATTCGATTCTTTATATACATAACGTTCTTCAAATGTCCCTATACCATTTACTTTTTCTTCTTCTTTCAAACTGTCTTTGGTAAAGGTCTAGATGATGGCCCCACCCCCCTCGGGGATTGAAAGAGGAGGTCTCCCCCACCACTGCACCATAAAAAGTTCATGGCGATCTCACTCCCAAAAAAGGTTAATGGAGGTTCAAAGTTAATAAATATGCCAATTTTTATACATTTNAGACCCTTCATCATCTTGGAAACTCTACTGATAGTATATCACTTATGGAAATATTCTATGTTTAGAACAATATATTTCTTTTCGTTATTCGATTATTTATATACATAACGTTCTCCAAATGTCCTTATACCATTTACCTTTTCTTCTTCTTACAAACTATCTTTGGTAAAGGTCTAGATGATGAGTGGGGGGATCGAAAGTGGAGGTCTACCCCTCCACTGTACCGTAAAAAGTTCGTGGCGGCCTCACTCCCATAAAAAGTTGTGGGGGTTCAATGTTAATAAATATGCCAATTTTTATACATTTCTAGGCATGTAAATATTTATATAGTCATTCTTAAACAATATTCAAAGGTAAAACTAATGAAAAATACATAAAAATATTGAGAAAGTTATATAAAACATTATTTAAATATCTTTATCAATAGGGTAGGTTAGGTTAGGTTAT